GAACAGGAAGAAGGAGGCAGAGTGGGAGGGGGAGTGAGGGAAGGGGGAGTGAGGGAAGGGGGAGTGAGGGAAGGGGGAGTGAGGGAAGGGGGAGTGAGGGAAGGGGGAGTGAGGGAAGGGGGAGTGAGGGAAGGCGGCGGGGCTGTGTGTGTGTGTGGGGGGGAGTTTTCGGAATGCAACAGCAGCAACAGCAGCAGCAGCAACAGCAACAGCAACAGCAACAGCAGCAGCAACAGCAGCAACAGCAGGAGGGGGTCAGCGGCGGCTTGCGGCAAGATTTTGAAGGTTTTGTGGGACTTAGGGTTTGGGGTCGGGGTTTGCCGCCGTACACCTTTAACCTCCGCAGTCATAATGACTCGGTCTTAAATGCACCAAAAACTGTTTATGGAAAATGGAAACTAAAAGTACACATACATACATACATACGTTCACGCCCGCAGGTACGGAGCCGTCCCCGTGGCCCACAAGACGGGTGGACTTCGTGACACGGTTATTGACTTCGACCCGTGGAGTCAGTCGGGAACCGGGTGGACGTACACCAGCTGCGATGCACAGGTAGGATCGGGGGGTGGGGGTGGGGGTGGGGGTGGGGTCGGGGTGGGGTGGAATCTGCGCCAGGTCAAGGAAAGCGGCAGTGTGATGGGGGGGAGGAGAAAGGGGAGGGGAAAGGGGTTAGCGGCTGGGGTTGTCGGAGGAGAGGGGTGTTTTCTCAGTAACAGCACCGCTCAATCGGGCCCGTGTTGGTGACGTGTCATGGGTGTGCGTGTGTATGTCTGTACGTGTCCTCTGGTTCAGTTGCCCTTCCGGTTGATTTCTCACCTGCCGGGGAAAAAACCCGACACTCGCGTCTTCTCCACCTCCCCCACCCCCGAACCCCCCAAGAACCTTCCGTACCTTCCGTACAATGTTTCCACGACCCCCCCACAACCCTTGCCAGAGGGTCCTGCACTCACTAGTGAATTGGTTTTGTAATTTGTAATCCTCCAAGGCTCCTAAGGGCTCCTCGCTTTCATCTCCACCCCCCGCCATTTTCATTAGGCTTCCAACCTCACACATACGTACATACATACACACACGTGTACACACCACCACGCTCTCCCCCCTTCCCCGTCTCCCTCTGTTGCACGTGGTTTCCCCCCCCCCCGGCCTTCAGGGGTTGCTGCACGCAACGGGTTTGGCGCTGCTGACGTATCAAAACCACCGAGACGACTTCCGGAAACTGCAGGTGGGTGGGTGGGTGGGTGGGTGGGTTTGCGGGGTTTTCCCCCGGGAAGGGGGGGAGGAGGGGGGTAAGACAGACGAACCACTGGCGCGAATGAAGCAGATACCAGAGATAGACGGATATAGTCCAGGAGAATATAAATGCGGCATTTCAGGAATATTTACGCTGACCAGTGATGACTCGAATTTTAGTGTTTGCAGCGACGTGGGGGAGGGAAAGGTAGCCTGATCTTACACACACACACACACGCACGCGAGTGTACGACATGGGTGGAGAGGGGAACTTTAGGGCCCCCCTACACCCACTGCCCCCGGCACGCACCCTGCAGCTGTCCGTCCTCTGTGCCTTACCTGGTGTACTCTTAGACGCTGTCGTACCAGTCGCTCCACACATGCGCATACGCACACATACTCGTAGTACACATACACACAATTACCCCTAGCTGTCCCCCGTCCCCCTCCCCCCTCCCTCTCCCCCCCGCCGCCAACAGCTCCGGGGTATGACGAGGGAGGCCTCCTGGGACCAGGCGGCGCAGCAGTACGAACAAATCATCAATTGGACTTTCATGGATCCGCCGTACTGCCGTTAATTAGTTAGTTGGCTAGCACTGGTGTACGGCGCGACAGCAGGAGATTGGGTGCGGTGCGAGGGAAAGGGTGTGGTGGTGTGGCATCGCATGACCGGTGTGCCAAAATGCGTGCGTATGCGGTGTGATGGATGGAGTGTGGGTGAGTGTCTTGTCTTCCCAGGGGGGGAGGATAGGAACCTGACGTCGTTGGATTGGTGGGTGGGTGGATGGGTGGGCGGGTGGGTGGACCGATTCGGTTGGCTTCTGGTTCGGATATGTCACGCTTCAACACGCCACCCCGAACCGAAAATGTCCTTATTAGAGTTATTATATAGTTTTTTCGCGTGTGCGGATTTGATGTGGTTTTGTTGCCTTTCCTGGCGGCCTATCGGCCTATGGGCGTGCGTACCAATAAGGAACTGAGCGGTATATGTGTCTGGATTTGCCTCTGCCTGTATGTATGTATGTATGTATGTATGTATGTATGTATGTATGTATGTATGTATGTATGTATGTATGTATGTATGTATGTATGTATGTATGTATGTATGTATGTATGTATGTATGTATGTATGTATGTATGTATACGTGTCTATGTGTGTCTGTATGTGTGTCTGCATGTTTGTCGACATGTATGTGTGTATATATATCTGTATCTGTGTGCGTATGTGTGTCTGTATCTGTGTTTGTATGTCTGTATGTACGTCTGTATGTTTGTAAACCGAAGCGACGAAGGGGAAAACCTGGAGGCGAGGGCGGTGGAACCTTCAACCACTAACCGCCGGGATGCAAATTACCCGGTCACGTAGGTTTGGTGTCTCTTATGTGCCTATGTGTTGGTTTGTACGGAGGAAGGGTTCCGGAGCGGGTCTACAGAGCGCAAGAGAGCGGCACGTGGTTGGTTGGGTTGTATGGCTTATTGACAAGGCGTGGAGGTAAACACGGAGGACGACGAGGTGGAGGACCTTAAGGCCGCTTGGGGGCGGGGGCTTTGTAACCCCCGTTTATCAATGAGCTAGGGCCGCTATGTACGGCAAAGACTTTCGCGCAAGAGAGTTTATCGAAACCTGAAATTTTGTGTGCCTAGCGTCCTGATGGCTGTTGAGAACTGTCGAGGATATGCCGTTGTGGGAGAGTACGTGTCTGTTTGTATGTATGTATGCATGTATGTAACGCCTGTTTTCCTGAAGAATGAAACTGAGTTGTGAAAGGGGATTCCTGACGGTCAGCACATATTGGGGGGCGGGAGGGAGGGAAATGGCAATTCAAAGGCGTGAAGAAATGCATGTTGTGTGCGTGTGTGTTTGAAAGAACGTTGTTACGGTGTCACGGTGTCATTAACGCGTGTGCTATTACGTAGCTTTTGCTGGATAATGCTGGATATCACGTCGAGGAAAACTCTTGAGGCGCCGTCAAAGCTCCAGGGGTGAGGAAGAGCGAGGGACGGTGGGGGGGGCAAGGAGATGACAAAGGGGGATGCAAACGGGGGTCAAGAAGGTAGTATGGCGGCTATTGATGCATTTTTTGTTATATGATACAGCGGTTATGGACGGTACTGGGGTGATGCTGGGTGATGGTGTGGTACGGCGGCGGTGGACAGCTGAGGAACACGTCATGTACGCGAGGAGGGACATCGCCGGTCACCGATCTAATAACCGCGAGTTTCAAATCAATTCCGAAAAAAAAACGGCTGTACAACGATGTTGTACATGTGGGATATGTTTTCGTGCCATACAAGGCAATATTCCCGCGAGGGGTGAGAGGGGAGGTGGCGTTCGTAGCTGTTTATTTTAGCCGCCGCCGCCGCTGCGCATATGTGTGTGTGTTACATGCTTGGGGGTGCGTGACCCCATACCTGCAAAACTACCCATACGAGCCGAAGGCCCAAGGGTATATGGTGTTGCCTTACGGGGATCAACCTCTCGGTAGTCGGGTGCAAGGGAGTAGTAGTAGTTGGGACGCGGGTGAGGAAAAATGCGCAAATGAGCCGGGCACACGCATTGCTCGATTGTGCCCCCCCAGCACCTGTGTTGTAAGGAAATCTCCCCGTGCGCAACCCAGTCGCCCAAATGCGCTGTTGGCGCATAGCACAACTTCTTACTCCTTACTTGTCTGATTCAAAGAGCTTTGCTGTGCTTAAGGAGCTGTATGAAGGGGCTGAATGAAATATCAGTTCATTTCAGGATCTGGAGAAGTGCGGACTGAAGAAATGTTGTTGGCTTTTGGCTGGCGTATGCCCAGAAGGGTGGGTATCGAGGCGTTGCAAACTGCACGTCAGGAAAAATGCGATGGGTTTCGCTGAGCGAAACCGCTGCTGCTGGTTCTGCATGCAAGGTATGGCAACAGTATGGCACCAGCATACCTCCTTATCGAGGTGGTATGAAGCGACTGCGAGCGAATGTACGCTAGCAGGTTATGGGCGCGTGCGGAATGACGGCTCGACGTGAACGGTTTTAAATGCTCGCACTCCTCGCACACGGCCCCAGCCTGTTCCGCAGCCAACAAAGAAGTGCAAAAGTATGCAATTTCGTTGATTAATGCTTTATTTCCATTTGCGAATTGGGTGGTGTTGTGACGGCAAGCCGATGCGGGCTAAGGTTGCGGCGTTCGGCTCGCACAGGCAGATCAACAGCGAAAACGGCTCTAGCTGGCGCCATACGAGCACTTGAAGAAACTTTACCATCATTAGAAAGCCAAAGGTTATTTACATACTTATGAGCTCATATATGCTTTCTATCTTTACGCAACACGCAGGAAGCCAGAATTGGTGCAATATAAATAGTGCGAAGAGGTCTCTTGACCACGCGCCAGGCAGAACGCCAACCACGACATTAGGTTGGTCAAGGATTTACAGCAAGACTATCTAACTACATTTCACAGCGACGTGAATTTTGCTCGTTTGGACCATTCGCGATGGTCGACGAAAATGTTTCAAGTATTCGGGCGCCAGCTCTGATGGCAACGCTGGCAGCATATCCGGCCGAAATTTTGGAGAAAACATCCTGGAAGCAGTTATTGATCGCGCCATGTCAACACCCGCAACGCAAGCGGGGACCAGATTTCCGCCGGCCCAATCTCGTCCTCGCGACAACATGCCTGCTAATGCTGTCGCTGCTGCAGCTGCAACTTGCAGGTAAAAAGCCTAACAAGATCAATTACAGTTGTTGCAATTGCGACCCAAACGCGCGACTTTTACGCCGAGCATTGGTGCCTGCCTTTTGCGGGTTCCGTTAGTCGCCGCCTTAGGCGGTTAGCAATTTGAACAAGATGGATCCGTCCCTCTAGAGTATGAGCCCTTTTCCTCAACAGATTATATTTTCTGGGTTGATTAGTGCGTGCGTAGTGTAACTTCAGGGTACCAAACACCGAGACTTAACTCCAAACACGGATCGCGCATGCGCGGAACAGCCGATTCAGCGAATCCGAGTCCTTGCTGGGTCTGTTCGGCTTCGGACTAGATTATAATGGAAATAACTTTTACATACCTGAGCATATCTGACTTGCCTGGTCTGGTTAGTGTATCAGGCGCTCCATCAGGCATTTCGGCGTGGCAACCCATGTTTTCCCTCCCTTTCTCTCGCTCGATACCCCACTCATTCCATGTGATGACCATTACGTGCGTGTTGCAACCGAGCAATCCACCGATCCCACCATCGCGGTCCAGGTGCTGGCCGTGGACTTCGCGCTGCAGCTCTGACCCCTCCCTCTGGGCCTGCCGGTGGTGAGCCGTTGGGGTGGAGGGAGGGAAGGGGGGACTGTTACGCGGTCTCGGTGCGAAAGGAAAGGAAGGGGTCATGAGCTCATGACGGGGTGAATGAGCGACCCCTGGCGGCGGTGGTGATAATGGGAGTGGGAGTGGTGGGGGTGGTGTTTTTGAAGGGGACCGACCCCAGCATCCCATATATCACCTCTAGCTACAGCTAGCTCCGCAAGGTATTGAACACTGCAACACCCTGGCAGGGAATGTTACCTCTGTCCCTCCTATCCAACAATTCATTCCTGCAATCACCCATTCACGCGATCATCTGTTCCACTATTTCTTCACTTGCCCAGGCAGCGAATCCATGCAGGCTTCCTACCACCCCTTCCCAGCATTTCTGTTCTCCCACCTTCCACTCCATCCGGCCTTCTCCCCCCTCCGCCTGCCGACTACCGCCCTCCCCGCGTCTGCGGAACATTTACACCCGCACTCACACTTCCCCTGGAGACCACGTTCCCCCTGATATCCCCCTCGACCCGACCCGACTCCCCCACCTCGATACGCGACCGGGTGCAGGGGCTGTTCACGTACCGCTGCAGGTGATGGGAGGCCGCGGGGACAGAGGCAGTGCGGGTGAAGGAGGAGATGGCAGCGCGGTATTCCCGCTCGGTGGAAAGTTGGTGCGTGAGCACGTGGGGCAGCGAGGGGCTCTCCTGTCTGGGGGAGGGAGGGCGGAGAGGTGGGAGCTGTGCCTCCTTTGTAATCCTAGGTCCCCCAGCCGCAACCCTCGACCCCCTAGCCCCTGCTTTCCGTGCAACTCAGCTGACCTACTGAGCCACAGCGGAACGGGCGGCCTTCCTTATCTTCTCACAGGCTAACAGCACGAACTGGGAGGCGGAAACGATGAATATAACTACCGTAACTGTAACCGTGGTCTGGCAGAGAGAAACGAGTTTTTGTGATACAAGAATTACAGTTGTTAAACAAACACATATTTAAGCCAACACTGCACTTCCAACGCCAGGCTTATCTGGATCCGTTCTGGATGCGCTCCCGTTGTGCCTGCTGCTTGGCTAAATACCTGACCTGCGGAGCTCTACACATTTTCCCCATACAGGTGTACATCCTGTGACTTCACCATACATACATAAATCACCTTGCACTACTCCCGCATAGCATGCTCTATAAAGCAGCACTACAGCCAGGACGAGGCCCGCTGTCGTACTACACGTCGTATCTGACCGTACCAGACATGCAGCTTCTATGCCTCCGGCAACCCTTATTGGCAACGAATAGACCAATAATAAAACACTATCTTCTT